TTATAGATGAAGGGCATGGCTCATTGTTATTGAAAACTTGCTCTTGACTGGAATTTAAATAGCTTGGCATATCCAAAGATGTTTCAGAAAATGTTTCTGTTCCAGGACTAAATGTACCCTCATCAACATCGGGAAGATCCTCTTTTGGTCTTATATAAATACTTCCTTGTCCGGAAAAGTTAAAAACTCGAGCAGAATGGAATCGAACACCTCCTGCCAGTTTTGGATTGACAATATGACCATAGCAAGATTTGACAAAGTCAATATCAATATTACTTTCTTCTAAGATAGGAAACAATTCATATGTTTGTTTTTTTGAGTTCAGACTCTTCACAAGACTTGTCAATTGGGCATCCATGTACTACAAATCCTCTATTTTCAAGCTGACATCATTGAGATGTGGAAGATGGAAGTAGGATAAGATCTTTGTGAACAATGCAATGTTTCTTTATTTTTTTGATGGTGGTCTTTTAATTTTATTTGATGAAATAGTCGATAAAAGTGCTAGAATTGACCGTGGAAGAGCAGCGGGTACATCTGCACTGCTTCTTTGCCCACTTGCTATTGCAATATTATTTGTGTTTGAATTTGGGCAGTTTGAAACGGATTGACTCAGTCTTTTGGACGGAAGACCTGGTCGATTTTGTGGTACAGAAGTTACGGACAAAAAATTTCCTCCAATATTTCCCCCATCTTCCTGAGTCAAAGTTGCCTGAGAAATTGATGCTATCAGACGACGTTAAATTGTCAAAGTATTTCTATCATCGAAATTATCCAGAAGATTACGCGCCTCCTGGGCAAGATTTGATAAAGCAGCCCGAAATTTTCCAGTATTTTCAGCCATGTAGTGAGATTTTATTTTGATTGAATTATTAAGTTTAAAGTCGAGAAAGCACGATGTCGAATGGAAACATATTGTGAATATGGCAGCGTCAAAATAAAAACAATACACTTCTCTACAAACCTGGGACATGGGCACTAACATATGCGAGCTACTAGTCATAAAATTAAATTCATATAAAATCCAGAGTGGGATCGCAAAGCATTATGCAACACGGTGTATAAAGTTTGCCATACCGTATATGAAAATTTCTCACATACGATATAAAAAATACGACGATTGTCATGTTATAAAAAAGATTTGAACGCCGCGTGAAACTTCGGAATAGGCTATAAATTTTGACGATACGATACGAGAAGTTTAGAACGTATATGAAAAGTTTAGAATGTCCCACATTAAGTTTCGGTTATATATTTTTGATTTATCTCGAAGTATATAAAGTTTGCATTGTACAATTTTAGTAAGTTATGTTGTATTGTAAGTTTAGAATAAAGTCCAATTTGGCGCCTCATATGTTTTGATTCATAATCACATAGCCGGTTGTATTATGGTTACTTTGTTGTGTTTTTGTTCAAGTTTTGAATTAGGCGCTGGAGGAATTTGAAATCTTCTTCAAAACGTTTGTTAAATTTCTTCATATGCGATGAATTACGTCAGTAAATCTGCTCATCATTATTTCTTTACACTATCTGTAAACTCTTGATATTCATAATTTTTGACCTTGTCATGTTAATATTCAATTGGTCTTGAGTTGGTTGTTTAATTCAATCGGTGTTGCTCTTCTTACAGCAACTTCTAATGCTTTGGATTTGTCCTTGGAGTCTTTATCTGTCCTTTTGACTTATTTTGCGGCTCTTTGAAATATAGTACTTAATCGGAGTTTTGTTCGTAGCCCTCGGTTCATTAAAGTAGAATTTTCTTCTTTCCTGTTGTTCCATGTGGCGGGTGAGATAATTCATTAGCAACGTAAGAATAGAGTCTTTCCAATCTCCCCCTCCTGCTAAGGAATTATGAATAATCTCTATATATCAGTCCATTTGGCTGCAGCAAGTTTTCTTTTACTGTGTGCCGTATTATTCCCCGCATCTGGAGTTTAATTTTGAACTGTTTTGATGTGAATTATTTAGCAATATCGGTGTTTAACGCCATAAGATAACCATGAATTAAAAATACTGAATCTAGCCATTCAAGTTGGAATTCTATGTGCTATAATGGTGTGAACAACTTTCATTTCTACCCATCTTCGATAATGAATATGCTGCAGCACCAAGTGCCCAAAATGCAAGGCATCAACAATTTGTCTTGTTGGAGCGTGTAGGTCGTTATTAGCTGATACTGGGGCTTTGCTGATTGCTCCTTTAACTTTAATACAAGATGATTCTTGTTCTTCAGTCCACTTCAAAGAAACGTTGTTTTTGGTTAGTGCTCTTAAAAGTTGTGTAAGGGTAATATAATTTGGAGTATATTGTTAACAGTAATTTGTTAAACTTAGAAAAGAACGAACTTTGAAACTTCTTTTAGGATGCATTGCTTTGCTGATTGCTTCAAGATTTTTTGAAGGGGTCGAATTCTTTGTCAGACACAATATGACCGAAAACACAGCATTTTCTCGTTTTGCGAAAGTGCACGTGGAAACTTCAGTGTTAAAAAATTTGACTGCAAACTTGCAGCAGCTTTTAAGAAGGCAAAGGTGAGTGGACATATCTTTCGAACAAAGCTACATGTTGTCAGAAATATTTTAGCATGCAGCTTGGAAATATCTCTTATAAGCTCATGAATCTCTTCATGAATATATACCTTAGAAGAACAAGCACCCATGAAAGTTGCATAAATTATTGGGTGACCTTCTTCAGGTGTTGAAAAAGGGTAATGAATCTGACTTCGACAGAGCTATTTGAAAATTCTAACATTTCCTACAATTACTCTTTATTTTCATGCAACTATTGAAAAAAAAAACATGCTGAATTTTTTAGTCACGGTGTAAAAAATTTTTGCCTCCACCTGTATCACAAGAATGCTTGAATTCAGGTTTCACTAGCGTAGATCTATTTAAAGAAGCTCCTTAGTGTCACACTCTCTCGTAATGCTTTTGTTTGTTGCTGTTAGTCTGTTGTTTAAAGTATAATATGTGTCTTGATTTCGCAATCTTTACCGCTGAAATCGCATAATGCTGCTTGTTCTATTTACCGACACTAAAATTTGTACATGGTTTTCCTGATTCTTGTTTCATTTTGCAAAACTGAAAAAAGCCATGCCTGTGTTATTTGATGGTTCGAAATATTCGTTTAATTTGGCCACGTTTGTTTCGTTATCAACTTCAGTTTAACGTAGTGTGTTTAAGATGTCATTCATCTCTTCTCCGACATATGTAAGAAATGAATCTCCTTTAAGCTTTGAATCGAAATCTCGAAGATTGATTAAAAGATTGTTAAGACTTCCTACCCATTTCCACCATTGTTTTCCAACTGTTGATAGATCTTTATGAGGAATGAAAGGTGCAAACGGCGGTAGGCCGCTTCGAGTAAGTCCCATGTTCACATAACGAAAAAATTGTAGTAGTTGTTGACCTTGGTGGCTGATTCTTTGTTCTGTCGTTTAAGCGTTTCTTGATGATGTATTCATGTCATTTCGTTCTTTTTTCGTCGCCACTGTCATTTATTGATGCTCTCTCTTGTTGTCAATTAAATTTCATTTTGTAAAATATCGTTATTTTACAATCTACATGGCACTAAATATACATAACATGCTAAATGTAGTATAAGCTGTAATTATTTGCTGTAATTGTTCTGTAATACATTATACGACGCATATTTACTCCAAGTTGTGATAACATTGTTCTAAGAAGTTATATATAATAACGAGAAGAATTTCAGTAATTTCATTGGTTGAGAGGTATGACCTATAAGTAAACTGACTTACTAAATTGACTTCACAGAAAATTGCTAGCTTTTAAATGACAAACGAACGGCGATATTATTTGAATATTTACCTGAATTTATCCCTGAATAGGCAAATAAAGAAATCTAAATTGCTTACTCAAAGCAGTGGACGTATTTTGAGCAAAAAGAAAAGAAACACCCGGTTTTTAAGCGTTGATTTGTACTTTGCTTCGATAACCAAATTTCAACAAAATTGATCAGCAATTGCTGGTTTATTTTGTTAGCCAATCACATTTTTTCGCATGATTAAGATAGCCAATAGCATTTCTTTGATCGTATGGATCATGCGTGATACTTGCAAACTGAAGACTTTTCAGTGTTCCAAGTGTTGCGGGACAAAGAAAAAAACTGTTTAACCATTTAATTTGGGAATTTTTTGATTTTATCTTATAAAACAAATAGTTGACATTTAACCGTCGTCTATACTGTTATAGATACTTGGGTGAGATTTTTTTAATAAAAACTAAGCCTGGTGACTCGTGGCCACTTTTATAGTTTTATCACAAATGACGTCATGTCTATGTATGTAAAACTGTAAAGACTACGGTTAGATGTTATTCGTTAAACAAAGAAAATGTTAAGCATCTCAAAATAAAACAGATTTTTTAGATAAGTCTCTGTTCTATACTTTTCTTTAAATGGATTTATTGACCACTTAGATTTTTTAAAAATTCTCAACAAACTATGGCTGAAATAGTTTCGACATTTTAATTGTTCATTAAAACGTTTTCTTATAGAAAGAATGACAGGACTAGTGTTTAAGAACAATAATATTTCTGTGAGAGTTTTCTTAAATTTTCTCTACTCGACTTTTTAGAGAATTTCTTAAGAAAAAAGTAGGAAGGGTCCCAGACGACCAGTTAAGACACACGAAAATTTGTTATATTTTTAGGGATATTTTTTGTTGTAAAATTTGTTCAAATTCAACAATAAAGTCTTACCTTGCATTTTCATCTCGTCAAAAGCTAGCCATGTTTTTTTTCCTAATGAGTTTCATTTCGTATTGCAATTGCTGTTTAAGACTGCAATGAACAAAAAAGAAATGAAGATGTCATTTTTTTAAAAAGTGTTAATGCAGAAAATGTGCTGATTGCAATGCAATCAAGAATTTATTTATAAATATCAACTAACACGATCGTAAATCTCGTACTAAATTGAACGACAACCTAAAGGAGATCGTCTCATTCAGCTTTTAGTTAATAACTTTTCCAATTTTTTAGCTTGAGTTTGACCCTACGACTGGTAAGCTAAGAGTTGCGAGGGGTATAAATCTAGATAATGTTGTTGCAACAAAAATGGCTTGCAGTGGTTTTTTTGGAGGTGGCTTTTCTGTCCCAGTCCCAGGATGTTTGTCACTTCACGACAGTTACCGTGAAACAATTCATCTGGATGGATTTCACATTTTTGATAAATCTGACTTTTACAAGCCAAGAAAACCAGGCTCTAAAAGTGCAAACTATGGTGGATTGGTTTTGTATGGATGCCGTGGGCTTGAAGAATGGGTAACAAAAAATGGCACACATTGCGAAAAAGGTTGTATTGTTATATTAAACACGGACTCCAAAGAAGTAAAAAAGTATCAATACCCAGGACAAGAAGGCCAAGTTCATGGTGCTATTTATGAATGTGCTTTTGGAGAGAAGATGGACAACACTGTCGTTGGTGAAGGTTTTTCTATACAAAATGAAAAATTAAAATTTAACTCTGTGGCTTTCAACTGTAATAAACCATACCGTGATCGAAAAAAAGAAATGAGCAAGATCAGTCAAAAATATATAAAATTACTAATTAAAAGTTGGATGAAAGCAGGACCTTTGTCTCTAGGAAAGCTTAAATTTGGTGTTTGGGAACTTGATGAAATGATAGAAAAAAACAATCAAGAAAATCCAGTAAAAAGGTTTGTTTTTATTCATATCCGTTAATTACGAGTAAAAAATTAATCAAAAAGAGCTAGCTGGAAGGTAGACCTAGTTATGTTTATATATGACCTCGTAATATCAACGTTATTCTTCTTAGTAATTCATTCATGTAGTGATAAAAATCGGACAAAAATGTTTCTTGCTCACCTTTCTTTCTATGAATAATGGCGTGTGTTGAAAACAATGAACTACTGTCTGCAATTTTAGAACGTAAACAAAATGATCGCAACTTGTAAGAATTTCTATTAGTTTTTTTCTCGTCTTACTTGTGTATGAATTGCACAAAACAAAAAACCGACAAAAAATTATGATTATTTAAGTACATTATAATAAATTAACAAATTTCATAAAAATAATTTTAGGAATTTTGTTAAAGATGTTTTTCAAGAAGACCAAGAAAACGCAGTTGAAAGGTTTCTTTAAGATAAAATTCTGTAATATAAATTGTTTGAGCTTTATGATTTATCTCTTCAATAACGCCACTAAAATCAAGTTAAAAGGTTTATTGCTGATATTTATTTGAGGATTTTAATTTTGCGTACAAAACTTTCAACTTAAGTTTATGCGCTTATTAGCTGCAAATTTTTTCCGGTAATTTAACCCATACAATACTTTTTATCGCAGCGTTTATATATGGAAAGCTTGTTGCACTGATTTTTCTTTTGTAAATCTTTATCATATTCACAACTGCTAAAGACTTAGAATTTCGCAAAGAATAATACGAAAATGATAAAATTATATCTAAGTGCACTTCGAAATAAATCTTTTAGGGAATTTGATGAAATGACAATTCAACAAGACAAGGAAACTCCAATTGAAAGGTATGCTGCTGATCTTTCGTAATAAACAAAGATATTGCGTAAATACCTAACAGCGAATTTTTTAGGGATTTTCAGTCGCGAAGCTTATTTTTTAAGCTTTGTTACTACCGGATGTATTTAGCAAGCTTTCTTGATTTTAAGAGAGCTGCACAAAAATAGACATTATAATCAATTTGTTTGCAGCAAAAATAAGGTAGTCTAATTTGTGTTAAAAAATAAAAGTAACATTTAAATCCATTGTTGAAATGAATTAAACAATATTCGTTTACGCTAACAAAATATATCTAACAATATTTCTTTTGTTTTAGTACAAAGTTAGAAACCATGTCGTCCGACAGAGATATTCAGGTACATATAAACAAAGTATCAAAAGAAAGTGAATCTAACAAAAAATTAAAAATTTTGGTAATCAGTCATTAGTTTGCTAATATTTAGACAAGCTGTAAGCAAAACAAACATTTACAAGACAAGATTCCTTTTACTCTCGTGCATTTTATTGTTTTATCATAAACTTTTGCATATTCTTCCATCAAGTTAATATTAATTATACCAGGCATTTGATTCATATGGAGAATTTGCAATCTCGAGCACAGCCGTAAGTTCATAGATGAATTTTCACATGCATTTACAATCCAACAAAGTAGCTACCTTAGTTACTTGCTAACATACCTTATAATAGACGACAACAATGAACTAAATTTTTTTCAATTTTTTTTCACATCTTTTCCCTTCTTTGCAACAAGTTCTTTGTCAGCCTACATATGCAAGGTTAAAGGTTCATAACAAAAACATTATTAATTGAAACAATTACGAAATATTCATTGGTGAATTTTTAAGCAATTGTTTTTGATAAAAGTTTTCTTATTAATTTATAACAACTTTTGCGATAAGAGAGCTATCACCATTAGCACTTACGTTTGTTTTGGAACCAATTTTTGTGTACGTACGCCTAGCTAACTGCCTGAATCGCAACAAGTTAGTGATTCTTATTTCTACTCAATGCTAATGATAAATATTTCACTGCGTTACAGACATGACAACAATTTGACTATCATGCCCAACTTGCATGAAATCGCCCAAAGCCAAATGCCTTTAAGGAAATTACAAAATGATGTGGCTCAAGTGCTTAGCTTTGTTGCTTATCCTGAACAAAACCTTCAAGAAACAAAGTTGTGATTTAATTTCTTTTCATTTAGCTAAAACTATTTCCTGTCCTTAAGCTCAATGTAGTAAAATCTGTAAGAATTTGTCTATGTAGAAGTTATTGACTTTTGCGATGAGAAGTTGAGAAAAATGAACATGCACGGGAGATAAAGAGCAATATCCATCATGAGTAGTTTTATCTTTGAAAATAATATTTTAATTAATGTTTAAGTAATTTAACCAAGAGACGTTGCAGTTTTCTCTTGTTTTAACAGAGGTTTAAAACTATCCGGGCTTTGAGAAACCCAAACAAACTTTGTGCTGAAATTTAACACCTTAATTTGTCAAACTTAACCCTAGGTCATTGTTAATCGCGTTATGAACAACTAGATCTATGTAGTTAAACTTCCTGTTTAAAACTTAAAATAATCACTAGACCCAAATAAGCAAACTTTGAAAGATTGCGCCTGTGTTAGTTATTGACGCTCTTTTATTCTCCCACATGGCATTTTTTCATTTACAGTTTACTTATTTTCTAATATTTTGACAAAAACATTATTTTTTTGCCAGTGCTTTTTTTGGGTCGAACTCAGTAATTAGAGTAAACGGTTTTAAAAGAAATCTACCAATTTCTTTATATCAGGACTAACTACATAATTTTTATAATTTTTGTGAAAGAAGTTGTTGATTGATTATCAATTCATGGCAATTCTTTATAAGCTAAACATTTGTTTAACATGTAAATTACCTTTACATTGTTTAGTTGGAATATAACCAAGTAACTTCTGAATTAAAGAGATTTTCATCTTCAGTAGAAGACACAGATTGGGAAGATACAACTGATAGTTCTGAAGAAAGGTTTATGGTTGATTCTAATTTATATATCATTATTTAAAATAAAGCATTCACTTACTAATAATGGCAGTAATGATATTTTGACTGTTAACAGATACTTAGCTATAGGAATTTATCCCGGTTCCCTTTATTTTAAGAAATTCTACAACAAAAGAAGATGATATAAGCTACGAAGAATCGATTAACCGTTCTAAGGAAAGGTTTGTTGTTGATCTCTTATTTTAAGCCTTTACTTAAAATCAAACAGCCAATCATTAAGTGATGACACATTAATAATTTATTAAAATAATCATTTGAATATTAGCCTTTATGACTTGAGCCAGTTACCTGTATTTTAAGAAGTTCTGCAACTTCAGAAGAAGAGATGGACTCGAAAAAGGCCACAGATTGTCCCAATGCACTAAAGACAAGGAAATGGACTCTGGTTTAAGCAGTGGCTACCCAAAACTCAGACTACTACATAAAATATTCAATTAGAAAAATTGACCACAAGAACACGTAGGGATGTAAAACAGCTCTGGTTTAACGTTTAGTGAAATCATCAAAATAGAAAGCTTGATATGTTATAAACCACGTAAAAAGAATTCTTATGTTATCAAGAACAATACTTGTTTTAAGCAAGTACAAGTAAAACAAGTAATTATATTTCTATGATATCTTTCTATGAATCTCTATGTAAGGATTTAAGATACTAGAAGAATTCTTTTTTCGATATAATATATCTAAACAACGTGAAAAATATTTTAGGTTGAAACTCTGGCAGAAATAAAATTCTGCGCATAAACCACCTTGTGAGAATAATATTAAGATAAATGATAATTCCAAAATAATAGGAAAATCCATTTGAATGGGTTGTTGCTCATCTTCATTTATGAGCAATAATGATTTGGATTTTACAGAATTTTAGTGAATTTCCGTTAAAATGCTTTTCTAGGTAGTCTTTGCAGGAGCACATTTTTAGAAAAATTGCACTGTATTTACTCTATTTACTGTATTTACTTTATAAAAAAACTACACTCTATTTACTTTTTTTTGCACTGTGTTGCCTATTTTATTGCAATGGTATTTACGATAATATGCACTGCTCTAAACCAATTAGAATGGAGAAATTTTTCCATGTTTGATATTAAGTAAATCAAACACAAGATGTATAACTAACGAGTCTGTGATAATTAAATTTTGTATAACCTGTCAGATTTCATGATTAATTTTGTAGGTTTGAAGTATTTTGTTCAACATTTTTGTCAGAAGCTGAAGCAATTATAAATTCTTAGCCCTGATATAATTAAAGTTCTTCAAAAGCACTTTCTATTTATAAATACACTTTTTACAACGGCTATTAAACTTTGCTCAGTTTTTCGAATTTACATTGGCGGTAGTCAGAGGTGATAACTATGCTAAAAGAAAAAATGTGCGCAATCCTGTGTGAATATACTGATTTCTATTCTAAAAGTTGGAGATAGTCTTTTGGAACAGAATATGCATATTATTACTACTGATTTTGTGCGCGGGTAACGTCTCAATACAATTAGAATAAAAGCAATATTAATAATGTTTGTTTGAATCATAATAATACAAAAAACACTTTCAAGCTTTTACTAGACGACTAATTAAAATATGCCAAGTGTTTGTACTCTGTTTCATTGTGCACGTAATAAAAAAAGTCGGAAGGGAAAGCAAGCAAAGGAAAATTATTTGAAGCCCACAACCGATCTTGCTTGCTTATCAAAAACTCAAACACTGTTGCATAGTACGATTCTCAGGTAAATGAGAAATCGAAAAATTGTATCAAAACATAAAAAAAGAACTAATCACAGATGAGCCACTGCTTGTGTGCAAATGCGTATATCGTCAACCAATCCATAACATAACAAACAGGTGATGTTTCCAAAAGAAAAATATTTAAAACAAGCCTTCACCTTCTAGAACAATCTAAAACAATATAAAATTAGACACAAGATTTAAGCAAAGCACAGGTATTTAGAGAAGAATGTGGATGCATGTTAATGGATTGATGGAAAAACGGTCAATTTCAGATCAAGTTGGAGGGATAGCTAGAACAACAGAAATTTGCTAAAACATTTTAAGAATAGTTAAGATATTTGGTAGCTTATATTTAACAAAGTCTTTTACTAAAAGTCTGCAATACTTGCTCACAAGAAGCTTGACAAAAAAACCCAAGACAAAAGTGGTGCTCGAAATTTTTTCAGATACAGGTTACACAGTCTTTGGTATGAATTTATGTTGCTTGTTAAATAATTACTGATATTTCTAATGCTTGTAATTTTTGTATTGTAGTTGCGAATTTTTATCATTGCGACGAAATAAGATATCTAAGAAAATCTTCTGTTCCAGCCAACAATAAAATGACCAAACGTTTTTGTCATAAGAGCATAATATTAAATGTTTTTACAGACAACCCTGTGCATAGTAGAGCTACAAGTTTACTTGAGCAGCTAGAAACTAGAAAATACGATGCTTTTTCTCATTATTATTTTACTAATATAATGACGAAGACAAGTCACGAGAAACCAAAATTTTTATTGAGACATTAATATGCAAACTAAAATGAGATGTTTATATCATTCCTTTGTTATCTATTTAAAATATTTGTGTCTTTATACCAATACAAACCTCAATCGTTGTTGATCGATGCCCTTTTCATTTTACGATTCCTTAACCCTATATAGGAGCCGAGCTTTTTCAAAAGTTGTACACATCTGGTTTTGTGATTGTTGCCTGAGGGTAACAACGGCCTCTAGAATGTTACATTTCGTACAAAGAAGAAAATTACATCAAAAAATCGTTTTTATTAAAGCAAGAATTTGATTTAGATTGTGTAAAACCAGAAGAAGATAAACATTCAATGATATTTAAAAACAAAAACACCTCAACTTGGCTATATTAAGATTATCTGACATTTTGGCTGTTAATGGTCATCAAATGTCGTCACGCGTTAAGTGTCTTTGCAAATTTTATAGATACCATAGAGTTCTATTAGCTTTTTTCTATAATTTAAATCATTAATCTAAAAATATTAAATTTCATTAACGAGCATGTTCATAAATTGTTCGGATAATGTCGTCTTTGAGATCACAGGAAACTTTATTTCCATAGTCCATTATTTTTATATTTTCCGGTAGGTATGCTGCTCCCAGACCTTTTGTCAAGATTGCACGAAGACGCTTGCAAGAAAAAAATATAATGTTGGGCAGAGCTCCTCGCCAAAACTTTACAACAAACGTAGCATTGTTCCTTCATAACTTAAGTGTAAACACAGTTGAAGTTATTGCGTTATATTCCATACATGTAAGTGCAAATCACAAATATAAGATACAAATTTCCCAATAAATTTGACTCACAGAAGCATTAATATCAAGCATCAATATTACAACTCAATGTTTCAGAGTGTTATGAAAGCACAAAGTATTGTTTTAATTTCGTTAATGAATTAATAAGTTTACTTTCACTTTTCCTTTGGATAAAGTTCTAATTTATATTTTTCTTAGTACCTTTGACATATCTATGATAGTGTAATTACATACTGCAACAGTTATGTAAAAAGTAAAATTTAAAAGAAACTTAATTTTACTTATAAAATTAACAGCGAACGCAGGGTTTACTCGTTTTTCATAGCTGCAATATATTTTGTTATTCTGTGAAAAATGAAATAAGTGAATAATATATAAACCAAACGCTTTAAGGTGACATTCATCAATGACAGAAAGCGTATATACTTAAATTTTAAATATATTTATAGACACTACTTTAACGATACGTACTTTTGCTTTTAAATGAAGAAGACAAAAGTGTATATTTGCCAGTCATCACATTTTGCTAATCATTACTATGAAATTCATTAAATGGGTTAAATAGGTACAGAAAGAAAAAATTCTCACCATTATTACTGCAAATCATATTTCTTTACGCTTTATCTCCATCCGCTAGTATAGTTGATCGATTCTAATACAGAAGTCAGAAGTACGTCTTAGTCGAAAGAGTTCTTTTCAATTGATGGAGCAGGGCATATCTTGTTTTTAATTGCATTCCATACAATGACGCTGAATTTGAATAAATTAAAATTATAAGTTTATCAACAATATTTTAGATTCATTTTTATTATGGTATTTACGTTAATTATATGGAGCATTAGAGTTTTAGATCAATAAGAAGTACAAAAACATGCTTTTAACGGGGAAAATTAAAACAAGATCGAATATTTTAAGAAAGAATTGTTAGCATCAACAAATATGATATGAATGTCTTCTAAGAAAACCAATTCCTTGAACTCATTTGCATTTTAATTTGCTTGTTTTTTGTTTACTTTAAAATAAAGGCGAGACACGAATATAACTAATTAGTAAAGCAAGATGAGCATATATAATTTTCAATATTATTATTAAACAATCAAAGCTCAATTTAAAAATTTGAGTTAAGCAGTTACGTGCTGTATAAGCTGCAGTAGATTTTCATACTTATACTTTCTAAAAAATAACTGTGCTAAACTACCTTGTCACAGCTCCAAATGGGAAATTAATGAGCACAAAATTACGATGGCGAAATACAAATCAAATTTTGCAAAAGCCCGTCTACACTACTGTTTTCGTATCGTAATCAACTGTTCACAGTTAAACGCTTGAATACGATTATCGGCTCTGAAATAGTAATTTACGCATGCTCTGCACATCGGTTTAACAACCAGTTAAATATCTTGATTCTCTTGGCAAGGGTACTATATTGAATTTTAAATTCAAAGATCAATTTCTTGCTTGAGTTGCACCTGAGGAAGGCCCATACGAAATAAATTATCGTTAGTCACTTGTGTTCTGTAAAGAATAATCATGGCATTGTAGCTATATAGCGGAAAAATTAACTACAAACAAACACTATGTTTTTTCTTGAGGTGTGAGAAACTATTTCCATTATTTCCCTATAATACTCATTTAGCATGTTTGGTTGTATTTATGCCGGAGCTATTTTTGAATATACATTTATGTTAAATCTCACGACTACGTCTTCGAGTTGTTTGCACTCTTTTCAGTGTTTTAGCCACTGATCGGATAATACATTGAATATAACTGTTATAGGTACCAAAAGTAAAGCCTGAATATGTATGCAGAACTCATTTCTGGTTACCTAATAGAAATACAAAAAACTATAGAAATATATGGCTGACAACGTTTACTAGGCTTCCCCCCCTACTTAATTTTTAAATTCTGCTTTTACTTTGTAAAGAGTATATTAACACTACACCTTGTCGCCAAACCTAGTATTACGGTAAAAATACTATTTTAATCATTTTCTTTATTTGTCGCCTTAACAGGTGACAAATAATGAAATGCTTAATATGAGCCAAATAAATTGTCGATACGGTAAGAATAGGAGAAATGTTTACTTTATAGTTTTAAATAAGGAAGAGCTGTTGGAGAATAGTAAAGTTATATTTGAAGTTAAAGTGACGTCATGTTTTCTAAGAACAGGCTGCTTCTAGTATGTGTTAAAGTTTTCCTGTTTCTTTTTTTCCATTTCTTTGAGCAGCTGTTGCAATGAATTAAATTATATTAACACATTTCCCCGTAAACTTTTCATATCAAGTGCGATTAGAATATTCATTATCTTTACTCTCACGTCAACGTTTCTGAGTTATTTGTACTTTTTACGTAGGATGTATTGATATTGTTACCAATTTTTTTTTAATAAATATGTTTCACATGCTTAGAGTTCATTATTTTTTAACCAACATGTAAATTTTTGCGACTATTATTTGAATATGACAAAGTAAAATATCATACGTAGTTCAAAATGTTTTTGTTTAATGTGGCAAATTACCAAAGATCATTTATCAAATATAATGTTATGGCTAAGAATTAGTGTAATGCTCTAGTTATTTATTACTTTGAGTAGTCCTTTACTTTTCTCAATTATTATTTCTAATTACTCTACCTAGCTACTTTTGCTATCATTTGATTCTTTGAAAACAAGCATGCACTTTGTATGCAAACTCTTGTCCAGACTGTAACTTGAATCAGTATTTTTAGCATTATATCATACCCTTTCATTATAAGCTTAAGCCACTGATATGTATGTTACACTGGATAACGCACCATGTATAAAATCATAGATAAAACAAACAGATTGCTGATGTATATACAATTTATACGTAACCCGTACCAAATTGAACATTTCAAGATGGCGGCTCAAGTAGGCAAAAGACTATAATGCTGCTAAAGACTTATATGCTGTTAAACCATTGCAAACGTCAGTCAACATCAACACCAACAGTCCTCCTCAGGATTCCACTAACATGGACGTTCTATACATCTACCAATCTGTAAATCAATTGTTCTTGACTAACATACACGATGAACAATATGTAGTATTCGTACGGTAAATAGTAGATTAAAACCTTGTGTCGTTCAGCCGTTGAAAAAATTATAGAAAATCACTGTTGAGCATTTTACACTTGAATCAATAGATCCTTAGTAGTTTCATCATGATGAGCATTGCAAGTGCCCTTAAGATTTCCCCAAACATAACGAGTACTGGTGGAAATTTTTACTTTCACATCTTCACATCATCTCATCAATTATGATGTCAAGTAACCTCAAATTAAGAATATTGGGTCCAAGTGGAACAAATGAATAAGTTTTTTAGTTATGGCATTGAATCGAGGGAATTTCAAATTTGTGAGCGTTTTAAGATTGTGAGAAGAGTGCATAAATTAGCAAAACTAACTTTATTTAAGAAATAAACTGCAGGCGCAGAGTGCGGAAACTTTTCGGATCTCACTTCGGCATATATTAAAAAGGTTATTTCTATCAAATTTTTGTATTTCTATGACAAGCATCACGAAAGTTGTTTTGGAAAGATATTTTTGGCCATCATAAACGGCCTAAAAAACGGTCACAATAGCAAAGATCATTGATAAGGATATATACAACACAGTTATGCTATAAGTTCTGTGCTGACTCTTGCTTTGACAAGTTAATACTGTGTGATATTGATGAGCAGAGTTAAATGTATAGCATGCACATGCTTTGATATATTTCACGAAAAACTGATGGGAAATACCAAAGAACTAAGTAACAGTGTTTTACTACATGAATATTTCTTCTAAAAATTTATTCTTACCGAAAGATTCGAGTTTAAAAGAAAATGTTAATAACCAATCCAAATACTAATTCCTTAAAGAAATGGATTTCTAAGGCAATATTCTGCAACAATAATGCAGTACATGGGCGGAAATACATGCATGTTTAAGAAAACGTGACCCATTTTGCGATGAAATATTTTGTAGTAGATGGTGCCCAAAGATGTATTTAGCTGAGCAAAAAAACTAAAGATCAAGCCTTCATGGCAGCAAAATAAGCCACATTTTAAACTAGTTTCTCAAGTTACATTAATTCACTTGATAAATAGAGCAAACAATTTAATTTTCTTTGACTCGCTAGAAACTGCAAGATATAGTCTTCAAACATTTGTTTCCTAATAGAACGCCATATTAATCCTCACAGCTTTGGAGCTTAGTAACTTTGTACGGCTTCAACTTTGACTGCAGAATCCAATGTATTAGGAAATCTGTGGCCTAGCATGTATGTACTTATTGGTGAATGAAAGTTATGATTAATTGGAAGTAACATGATGAAATTTTCCCTTTTTAAGTGAATATATAATGGCTCGGTATGAATAATAACAAAGAGATGAAACTACAGAAAAAGTGAAAAAATATTTTTAAAGGTTTTCTAAATTTAACGCATGTGATAGTTTGCTAAATCAGCTTGACATTGTTCGAAACTTTTTTCATTTCTTCTCAATTTTTTATCATAAGATAGCTTTAGATTAACTACTAAGATATTAATGGCTAGTTAGGATGTAATTGCTTTCTCACTGATGTTTCTGCCTCATTCTGCTTCTCCATTACTTTGAGGACAGCGAAAATTATTTTTCATATATGCATTCACCAACTTCTCAAAAAATTTGGAATAATTACTGCAACATACAGTGGACTACTATAAAAAACAACAGGTTTAGGTGTACAACGACCAGAGAATATTGATTTCATCTGATTAATAACATGTTCTAGGCATGTATTCTTTTTTAGAGAAGCAAGTTCAAAATATTTAGAGTAATAATCAACTACAATCACATTAATCTTTCCACAATATTCTAACAGGTCTGCAGGTTTTTCCTGCAACAGTTTTCAAGGAAAACAAGTCATTGTTTAAGGCTCTGCATTGTCGTATTAATAATTTCAATTTCTTTACCTAATTCCTTCCATTAGACAGTATTTTGGATTCTCTCTTTGTACACACAAAAATACCTTGATTGCCAAAATGAATTTTTTTGATAAAATTCAAACGTAACATCAAGGAAATTTTTAAGCGCAAGTTTCATTGACACTTGTTTTAAAATTGTTGCTACTGTAAAAATGGCAGAAGGGCACAAATTTTTTGATTTCCGTCCGCCCAAACTTTTGTGGAGGATTCCGAACGTTTCTAACACAGTGAATCTACTTGTTGATGTTGATGTATTTCTTCTAAGCCTTTGAGCATGGCGGTATGTTTTAAACATTGTGATACATAAATATCTAAATCGTAGGATAAATCATCATGTAAGTCGCAAGGTATTTGTTATAAGAGCTCGGGACAGTGCTCTAAGTCAACCACAAACAACTCTCTCCACGTATGTAACGAATATAATTGGAGAATTTTCTTAGCTTAATCCAGAATCTCTGTATTTATGGAGGAAGTTGTTCTAAAAGCTTCCCAACAAGAAAAAGAATCAAGGGCATATTATTGGTGTGCCAAATAGAATGTCCATTCCGTTGATACGAAATTTTAAAGTTTTGGAATCCCAAGTTGTAACCAATACCTCGATATGAGGCTGTCGTTCTTGTCAGTGATCTTGGGGCATCAGAGGCTGGTTTCCTTCCTCATTTTATGTTTATTTACCAATTAGAGGCTCCTAGACCAATCGAAAAGTTGTCGGCTTTCCAAACTGTTCCTTTTGTA